TTCAGTTCCAGACCACCACAATAAAGAGATGATCTCACCGAAGCAAGTTACATGAAGTTTTTGGTTTCCAAGTGCACATAAAAGGTATGTTTACATCATATTGTAGTTTATTAAGTATTCAATAGCATTATGTCTAAAATAATAATATACACACCTTAATTTAAAAATACTTGATTGCAAAAAAAATGCTATCATCTAAGCTTTTATCAAGTTGTAATCTTTTTGCTGGTGGAGGGTCTTGCTTTGATGTTGTGGCTAGATTGATGATCTATCCAGACCAATAAAACTTTCTCATATCGGCAATAAGGGTGTTTCACTTTCCTATCATTTGTGTGTTCACTTTTAATTTCCTTTAAGAACTTTCTTTTGCATTCACAACTTAGCTAACTGTTTGGCACAAGAGACTTAGGTTTTGGCCTCTCTTGGCTTTCAACATGCTTTCCTCACTAAGCTTAATCATTTCTAGCTTTTGATTTAAAATGAGAGACATTTGATTCTTCTTTTCACTTGAACATTTAGAGGTTATTTTAGGGTTAATAATGAACCAAACATTCCCATTAAAAGGCAGAGATTGTCTAACTAAATATAAAAAAAAAGAACCAATAATATTCTTTTTATTAGAGATGGACTTTAAATATAAAGATACAAAGCAATTGAAAGATAAATGACAGAAAAAGAGGTATAAGACAAACACTAATTATAAGAAAGCTAGTGTAGTAATATTAATAAAACAAAAAGTAATCTCTAAATAAAAATTATTACCAGACATAGTGGACATTTCACAAGGAAAGGGGCAATTCACCAAGAAGACCTGACAATTCTAAATGCATATGCAACCTAATATAAGAGTTTTAAAACATAAGAAGCCAAAATAACAACAGGGCTAAAGAGAGAGAGAGACACAAATCAACAATCTTACTTGGAGATATTAACACTCCCTTCTCAGTAACTGACAGGTGAGGCATAAGGAGCCATTTATTTCTCTCTGACTGGGGAGTTCACTCCCAGGAGAAAGAAGGCAGAAGACTTGGCCTAATCTTCTTGCCAACATGGTAACTACATCATTCGTAAATACAGTAATGACATTTACTAGAAAGAAAAGCTTTATAGATAGAAAATATTCTTTAAAGAATGCTCCTTCTTAAGTATTTCTTTATTACATATTTTGTAAGTAAATACAGAATGTGGATTTATGAGGCATGAGTCTCAGAAGGTCACATATGCTACACCACTCCCTGGGAGTATTACATGGAGATATTTTGTAACTCAAATGCTCCTCTTCTGTGTGAAATATTACAGTGGGCCTTAGAGTACATATGTGTCAATGTCTCTGACTTCTCTTTGCTTTGTCTGAGTCTCTTAACTGCCCACTTATCTTTGAAATTAGTAATAAAGATTGATAGTAGGTAAGTTCTCTGATTGTGTCAGTTTCATCTGCAACCTAGTCCCTTGTGTTAACTTAATAGAAAACAGGGGGAAATTCACTGTGAAATGTTTGAAAAGACTATCAACCAACTTAAAATAATTGACATTTAGAGAATACTACACCCAGAAACTGAAGAGAGCACATTATTTTAGGTAGTCATGGTAAGTTCAGCAAGATAAATGATAGAGTGGGCCATAAGACAAGTTTATGCTCTTGCCTCCTTTGTCAAATATTAACTGACCATAATGGCATGGGTCTATTTCTGGGGTCTCTGTTCTGTTCCATTGATCTATATGTCTGAGTTGTTATACCAATACCAGGCTGTTTTGATTACAATGGCTTTGTAGTATAGTTTGATATCCAGTAAAGTGATCCCACCAACTCTGTTCTTCTTTCTCAATATTGCTGTGGCTATTCAGGGTCATTTTTGGTTCTGTATAAAATTTTGGAATATTTGTTCTAGCTCTGTGAAATATTGTTGATATTTTAATAAGAATTGCATTGAATCTATAGATTGCTTTGAGTAATATGGACAGTTTAATGGTATTAATTCTTCCTTTAAATACATTTAAAAGTACTGAAATCACACAGAGTTGTTCTCTTGTCACAATGAATGTAAATCAGAAATCAAGAACACTAAGGTAGCTGAGAAACCTCAGATTTTAAAAAAACTTGACACACTTCTAGGTAATCTATGAGTAAAGTGGAAAATAAGGGAAATTTAAAATACTTTAAACTGAAGGATAATAAAGACAGTATATCAAAATTATTTGTGGGATGCTACTAAAGCAATGTTTACAGGGAAAATTACAGCTCTAAGTGTTTTAGAATAGGAGATTGAAAATCGATCACCTAATTTTCTACCCAGGTAAAGAAGCTAGCTAGTAAAAGAAAAGCAAATTAACTCTAAAGTAAACCGAAGAGAGAAAATAATAAAGAGCAGAAATCAATAAACCACAAAGGAAACGTGCAAGAGAAAACTAACAAAGCCAAAATGTGGTACTTTGAAATGATAAATAAAATTCATAACCCCATGGCAAGACTGTCCAAGAAAAATAGGGAAAATAAAAATTTCCAGTATCAAAATGTATCAGAACTAGAGGTGATAGTTGTATAACACTGTGAATGTACTAAATGTCACTGAACTGCTCACTTCAAAACAGTTAATTTTATGTAAACATCACTTAATAAATTAGCTTTTAAAATTAAAAAATTTCAAAAAACACTTAAAAATCCCCACATCAGAAATAAAACAGCGGGCATCTCTATATTAATATAATTTTGGTTAAAATAATGTATTTAAACCAATCTGTCAAAATGGGAAGGTCACAATGTCATGTGACAGTGATCTGAGGGACTAGGAAGTGAGCACTGACCATAGAGAATGTATTGAAAATGTGATTGTAATCCCAAATATTCTGGTCATAAACATTAAACAAATACCTGAAAGACAACTGCTTAATTTCTTAAGATTTAGTGGTTCTTGAGTGGAATGACTTGAAATAAAGTCCAGCTCCTGACTTTACTGTGATCAGCTCTGTAGAATAGCTACATAGGACAAGCCCTATTCTTCCTACTTGAACATATGGTTTCCTTAAGGCAAAAGAGGATGCCTTGCTTATGCTGACTTTTCAGAATAGGACTCAGGCTATGACACCCCCTCCCCCCTGGTTCTGATGCCAGTTGAAACCATGCCTGTGTAACTCAGGCCAAGGAATAAATAAATTTAAAAGCCCAGTGGTCAAAGAATTTGGACTCTGGACTCTGTCATACCTATATTTACTCAGTTTGGTCCCCTACTAACCAACTGTACAAACTTTTCCTCTTTACTGGCAAGTTTCCTCATTTGCAAAATGGGGATCAGATAATTTCCAGGACACAGCATGTAAGGATGGTAAAGATAAAGGCAGAAGCTAAGTTATTGTGTTCTTACTTTTGCCCAGCATTTTGCTATGTGCATAACAAGAATTCTCATTTCATAATTTAACAGTTCAATCGTGTTATTATTATTCTCAATTTATGAATAAGAAAACTGACAATCAGAAACTTGTCCAAAGTCCTATGTAGATGATAAATGGGCCAGGATTGAAAAAGAGCCTGTGGTCTACCAACCACAGAACATGAACATAATAAATGCTCAATAAATAGAGGCTATTAAAATTCTTTTTCTACTACAAGACTAATCTAAATTATGATTAGAAGAAAAGCAAATCATCTTAGAGCCATCTCTTTATAAAAAGTTAAAATTATAGAAATACACTCAAAATAGAGGAGTAGTTGGACAAAGAGGAATCTTCTAATTAAGAAATAAAGGTAGAAAAATGTTCCAATGCTAAAAAAGACATATTTTATTAAGCCAACCCAAGGCCAAGAGGCAGGAAAAGCAGGAACAGGAACAGAGGTATATCCCACAGCTTAGTTCATGACTTGAGATGCAGAAAGTTATCTAGGGGAATTTTTACTAAGCCCAAGGAAACTTTGGAGATATATATATCTCTAGAGAAGACTTTGTCCCTGAAACTTTTAGAATTATCTGAAAAAAAAATCTGTAAATCTAAGGAAAAGGGGATACGGATTAAATTAAACAGTGATTAATAACAGTTCAGTTTGAAAAAGTGACCATTTTATTCGCAGGTGCTTTTGATTCTCAGAACTGTCTCTAACCATATATTTATAATTGTGGTGGTTAATAATTTTAGTTTTGTCTCATGGTTGGCTGCTTTAAGTTTTTTAAATAATGATTTAGTAATGTTCTTAATTATGCCTATTAGAAATCTGGCTATCTGGATCACAAAGCAATTTTTGAAGTCCTGCAATCCATCTGGTAATGGCAGGAGGAAATAAACACCTTTCTGAGTTCTGACTTTTCAACAATCACCTTATAGAAAAAGAGAAATGCCAAGCATACAAAAACATGTGTTGAATGATGAGAGACTGAAGCACAAAGGAGAAGGGGCTGAAGACTATGTTCCAGGGACACAGCCTATACATGATAAATGTTTGTTGGTAGAGGGAGGGAGGGAGGAACAAAAGGAGGGGAATGGGGGTTCCAAAAAGAAAGCCACACACAATCCTGAGATGGGAAGGAGAAGCTAAGTAGTTTGGCTAGAATGCAGATTTTGTGCAAATAAGGCAATACATGCCTAGAGAGGTGTGGTCAAGCACTTACTTCAACCCATTGTGGAACAACTTCGTGTAGTCAACATTTATTATACTGACATTTTCTTCTCTAAGTTCTTCAATGGTCCATAACTGGCCTACATGCTGAAAACCAGGAACGTCCCATTTGACATACCTCCTATCCATACTTGGCAACCAATAAATCTGTAAGAAGAAACAGGAAATCTTTCAGTGGACAGTCAGCTATCTAGGTACAAACAGTCCCATATAGAATAGATGGAGCCCTATTACAGTACTAGTNAGGGAGGGGCAAGAGGAGGGGAATGGGGGTTCCAAAAAGAAAGCCACACACAGAATCCTGAGATGGGAAGGAGAAGCTAAGTAGTTTGGTTAGAATGCAGATTTTGCGCAAGTAAGGCAATACATGCCTAGAGAGGTGTGGTCAAGCACTTACTTCAACCCGTTGTGGAACAACTTCTTGTAGTCAACATTTATTATACTGGCATTTTGTTTTCTAAGTTCTTCAATGGTCCATAATCGGCCTACATGCTGAAAACCAGGAGCAAAAATCCTGACATACTTTCTATCAAAACCAGGCAACCAATAAATCTGTAAGAAGAAACAGGAAATCTTTCAGTGGACAGTCAGCTATCTAGGTACAAACAGTCCCATATAGAATAGATGGAGCCCTATTACAGTACTAGTAACAGTCTACAGGGAGCAGAGCGAGATTCTAGCCCTTGGCCTAATATTGTCTAATAAACTCTTATAAGGGGGCTTTCACTGGAGTTGTTCTGCAGCTGAGTTTTCTCAGGTAACATCATGGGTCAAGGGCCCATTGTGTGCAGATAGCCTCCCACCAGCCAAAGTGGAAGAGGGGTTGGCAGATGTGGATGAAAGGCGGGAATCATAACCATTTCCTCTGGCTGATGATGCTAAACATCATCTTTGAGAGGGCTCATTTCCTGCCAGTGGGCAATGCTATTAAGAATCGTCTGTACAAATAGTTCCATTGGTAAAACGACACTTTTTTCCCCTTCATTCACAGCACTCTTGCATATTCTGAGGATGTAAGAGAGTTGGAATGATTGACTACCCCAATGCAGAGAGTTGCTTCTGAAAAACATGGTTAACAAATCTCTGCTCCATAAGAACCAGCTTATCCACCATTAACTGAAGCCAAGCCCTCAAAGCCTTAGTGTTCCCAGGTCCTTTCTAACAGTTCTACCTTGGTGCATGGTGCAAGTCACATCATGTAGTCATTACACACATTCGTTTTTAACAGACTGCTGATACTTCATTTGGTTGGGAATAGCAAAGAGCCTCAATGTTTCCCCCCAGTGGGCCATTCTTACGTTGCCACATCTAACTGTATAAGCAATAATCTCCATTTCTATAGGGAGCAAATTTATTTAGGGATCCCAGGGAAGATCTATAAGATAGGGTAAGTTCAATTGCTATAATCCTGGAACGTCTACCCACCTCCCAACCTCTACCATAGATCCTGAGACAGACATACCAGATGTTGCTCAATTTTAGAGTCAAGGATCACCTGTACTACACGACGTACATATGTATTTCTGAAAGGATGTTTTGGTGGAGGGCCATTAAGATCAAATATCACATATTTATTTGTCTTCTTTGCAAGTTCCAAATAATCACTTAGTGTTGGAATCATCTGCTTTCTTGCTTTTTCTTTATCAGCCTCTGATAAGGGTTTCATATTGTAATATATTTTGTACTAAAAATAAATACATCAGAGAATATATTAGCTCCTATCAAAAGCATTTTCCAATTCTCCTGCTATATAGTCAGTCCTACCCCCAGCCCTACCTCCATGCTGCTCCATTACCATTCAACCCACCAGGCCCTCTGAAATACTCATAATGTCAGGAGGAAATAAACAATTGACAAAAGAGTTGCCAAGGAGAGAAATAAAATATAGACTCCATGCGTAATTATATTTGGAATATTTTTGTCTATATCGAAGAACCTGTTGTATTTGCACTGAAAGACCTTCATGTTTCTGTCTTAACCTTCCTTTTCAGGCTTTTTTCTATAACTCAAGGTAATACAATCCCTTTTCAGTTGCCTTGGCTTCCAATATTTGCTCTCACTGTTGGCATCAGACTGAACTGGAGTCGATCCCAGCTCTATCACTCATTTGCCTTCTTTGCCATCTTCACCTGTTTAAAATCCTACCCTCAACCTGAAAAGCCCAGTTCAAATGCTACCTCCTTCAAGCAGCCTTCCTTAAATGTTCCTGAACTAAAGAGACTTGGATGGTGTTAAACTCCAATGGCCCATTTTTGTGCCTCTCTAATTGTATGTCTCATCTGCCTTCTAGAGTTATTTGTGGATGTCTTAGACCGGATTCAAATCCTGGCTCCATATGCTTCCTGCTGTGTAATTAATTGGTAGAACTGTTTAAATTCTCCAAGTCTTCATTGCCCAGACTATAAAGTAGGGGATGGGAGGGGAAATCTATGTATTTCTCGAGATTATTTGGAATATGAAATATGATGAAATATTTACAGGGTCTAGGAGCACATAGAAAAGTGCACAATTCACTAGTCCCCTCTCTCTCTACTGCTTCAACTGGAATGTAGCTCCCTCACGGCAGGAAGCGTCCATTTCTCTTTGCGATACACAGCATTTCATCCCAGACCTCAGTCCGTACATATATTAGCTATATTAAATGTAATGGACGGCTGCTTTTATCGTCATTTACCGATTGTAGATTATCTGTGGGTGAAGTCAGTGACGCAGGCACTAGCCGCCTCACAGTTTCTTAACTCAAATAATCTCTTTCTCTCTGCACAACTTTGTTTTCATTCTCATTCTCACCCTCTCTGTTTCTTCTCCTTCCCTGCCCTCTTTAACAAGCTGCCCTTCCTCACCTTCCACAATATCTCCCTGCTGGACTGGAAGGCAGACCATAGAAGCTGAATTAAACATAGCATAGATCTGAGTGGAGGTCTATCATGAGGGTGTTTTTCATCCTCAGGAAAACAGAAATTTGCTTCAGGATTCAAGATTTTGTTAGACTCCACCAGATCTAGACCAACTGATTCATTTAAATGTTAAAAGAACAGGATGGCAACGATCAAGACAGGATTTAAATGACTAAGCTGTGCATAATTTTTAAACTGTCTCTGAATGGGAAAAATAGGAAATGCACTATAGGAGGACATTTATCAAATCTTTCAAGGATAAACTGGACAAAAATTCAAAATAGTAAAAATAATAAAGATTAAGCAACAGGAGAGTTTAAAACTAGATTCCATAAGCTTTAAATGTTATTATGGGGTAGATCTAATAGCTGAAGTAAATCAAGTCTCTTTTTTTTTGTACATAATATAGGGGACTTAGTCAGAAAAACTGGAATGGGACAGGCCAGTTTAGACTATCTCCAACATGTGGGTGAACATTTTTAAAAGCCTAGGAAGTAGTGAGATAAAAATAAAAACTTCCAGTTCCCCATATAAAACATCTGGTTCCTCAATTAAAAACAAGACTAAAAGGTGCTTGGTTCTCTATGTCCATGCTTAGAGCAACTGCAAGTAGAAGCACCAGTGGACAATCCAATGTATCATACTGATTAAAAATTAGGTCAATTATCCAAAATCTTTGAAGTGATGTCACGTAAAGGGAAACATTACCACTCAATTGACAATTTTTTAGTAGAACTATCTGTAAATATAGATAAACAACAAATAGTTTCTTGTTGATACAACTGCCACTACCTTTTTAAAATTTCATTAACCCACTACTTCAGACTATCTGAGTTCTAAAACCGCTTAAGTCGTAGGAATTTCTAACAATCCCAAGTCCTTTTCCATGTCCCAACCTATAACTGTTATATTGAGGCCATTGTCAGAAGCACTCCTTTCTTCTCTATGGCACTTTCCTATAAGCTTCATCATTAGGAATCTACTTTCTTTGCAAAAAGCACCACCAGAAACAAGTGTACACAGATAAATTATTTTCAGGAGTCAGAGAAAATTCTATTGCACATTATCAAATTATCACGATAAATATTAGTATGCTAATTCAAAACATAACAAATTATTAGCCATAATACCAGAATCCCTGAGGGAAAAAGAGGCAGAATAATTGAACTCTCAAACCTGTGAGAGTTCAGACTGACTCTGTTGATACTGTTTCTTAAAATCCTCTCAATGCTCAAGTTAAGATCTAAACCAATTATAACAAACAATATAACAAGAATTATCCCTTTCATTAGTCAAAAAAATATCTCTATTTAACCCGCTTAAACCACCCTCCCCAGATGAGAAGGTGGATGATACAGATTTATCTGTGAGCTACTAGCAAAAGTACTTTCTAGTACTGCCTCTCTTTGTTCCTATCTCTATTTACTTCGTGTCCTAGCTGATGAAGACAGCCAATCCTTATTGTCTTCACTAGAGAAAAATCAACAGCTTACCTGGAAAGCTATGCTTCAGGAATTTACTGAAGGCCCATCCTACTCCTTTCAAGTCAAACCAAGATCTTTTTTAAATTCTCATTAAATTTATTGGGGTGACAACGCTAATAAGATTATATAGGTTTCAAGTGTACGATTCTATAATACATCATCTGTATTGCACTGTGTGTTCCCCACCCAAGAGTAAAGTCTCCTCCGTCACCATGTGTTTGACCCCCTCCACCCTCTTCTGCTGCATCCCACTCCTCTTTCCCCTGGGGATCACCGTACTGTCGTCTGTGTCTATGAATTTTTCATGTTTGTTGCTTTCTGTTTTATATCCCACATGAGTGAAATCATATGGTTCTTAACTATTTCCATCTGACTTATTTCACTTAGCATGACATCCTCCAGGTTCATCATGCTGTCACAAACGGCAGCATTTCATCCTTTCTTATGGCTGACAGTGTTCCATGGTGTACATGCGCCACTTCTTCTTCATCCAGTCATCCGCCAAAGGACACTTAGGTTGCTTCCATGTTTTGACCACTGTGAGTAATATTGCAATGAACACAGGGATACATATATTTTTATAAATAAATACTTTCAAAAATTTCAGGTAGAAACTCAAAAGAGGGGTTGCTGGGTCATACAGTAACTCTCTTCGGAATTTTTTGAGGACCCTCCATACTGTTTTCCATAGTGGCTGCACCAGTTTACATTCCCATCAGCAGTGAATGAGGGTTCCTTCTTCTCCACAACCTCTGCAACTTATTTCCACAACCTATTTCTTGTCTTTTGATAATAGCCATTCTAACAGGTGTGAGGTGGTATCTAGTTGTTTGCATTTCCCTAATAGCTAGTGAAGTTGAGCATCTTTTCATGTATCTGTTGGCCATTTGTATGTCTTCTTGGGAGAAGTGTCTGTTCAGGTCCTCTGCCCATTTTTAACTGGGTTTTTGTTGTTATTGTTGTTGAGTTATATATGTTTTTTGTATATTTTGGATATTAGCCTCTTATCAAAATTCTTTCACTTACCTTGCATTTTGAGTCAAATTCACAAAATCTTCTCTAAGACCAAGACCATAAGTTTAGTACATATGTTTTCTTTCAAGTATTTTATTGTTTGAGGTCTTATATTTAAGTCTTTGATGAATTTTGAGTTCATTTTTGTGCTTGGTGGCAAACCAACGTCCTTGAGGGTTTTGTTGTTCTTGTTTGAATCCTCACCCAAGAACATTCGCTCCATTGCTTTTCAGGGAGAGTGGAAGGGAGAGGGAGAGAGAAACATCGATGTGAAAGAGTCACATCGATCGGTTGCCTCCCAATCGGGGCCAGGAATTAGATCGAGGGTCAAGACTGCCACCGAGGTTCGTGCCCTTGGCCGGAACTGAACCTGGGCCCCTTCAGTCCACAGGCTGACGCTCTAACCACTGAGCAAACTGGCCAGGGCAAAAGTATAGTTTCATTGTTTTGTGTGTGGCTTTCCAGTTTTCCCAGCACCATTTATTGAAGAGGCTTCCTTTTCTCCATTGTATGTTTTTGGCTTCTTTGTTGAAAATTATTTGCCCATACCCTGTGTCTTCCACTGAGTGGCCTCAGGCCTGACTCGAATGGCACCCAGCCTCAGGTCGAAGCATGGTTTCTCCCAAGTGCCTCTGAGCCCAGCACAGGCAGCTGCCAACCAGGGACCACTTTGTAGTTCCACCCAGGAGGTCCCGGGCTGGGCACAGGTGGTGACTGAACTCCACCTGTACTGGAGCCCCTCCCAAGAGACCCCAGAACAAACACACCCGGTGGCTAGCCTCAGACCACAAAAGAGCACCACCTGATTAGTTACACAAACAGAATACCCAAAGGGTCGGTCTCAGCAGGCACCAGAGCCCCACTGGGGCAAATTCTGCTCTGTGTGGTCAACCCCTGCTGTGGTCATGGCCAGTCCTCACAGCCAGTCAGCCTCAGAGTAAACCCCCACCCACTCACAAGCTAACAGCAATCAAGGCTCAACTGAAATAGGTCATACACAATCTACACCAGGGACACTCTGGGAACACTTGACGCTGCAGAACATCTACTACATAAGGCCATTCTACCAAGCTTCACCTAATACATAGAAACAAACATAGGAAGGCAGCCAACATGAGGAGACAAAGAAAAAAGACTCAAATGAAAAAAGCAGGAAAAACTCCAAAAAAGAACTAAATGAAATGGAGGCAGGCAATCTACCAGATGTAGAGTTCAAAATGCTGGTTAGAAATGTGCATGGGCCAATGCTCTAACCACTGAGTGACACTGGCCAGGACACACTTAAACAAGCCACCTAAAGGTCATCTGGCTCTTAGAGAAATGTACCTTTGTTTAAATTATTAATTACTATTGATTAGGGCCAGAACATAAAGTTAGATGTTAACTTGCAGAAAACTGATGGAAGTTGAAATGACTTCTGTCCAGTAGAGATGCAAATTATTTTTGTCTGGTAGAGAACTTAACTCCAAAGGTATGGTTTTATTGTCATATAGTATATTAACCAACTTAATATACTAGGTTTGTATCTAATTTAGCAATCTAATTTCAATATTTCTTTGTTGCACTGACTACATTTATGTTGGTTTCTCTCTTCTCTTTTGAGTGTGGGTTTAGTCATCCTGCTTGTTCCCTCATTAATGTGCTAAATGAAACTTGTTCTCATGTTCACTATCTTTAGGCATGAGAATGATATTTTTGTCAATTTGAGAATTATACTTTCCCAAGAGGATATATAAGAAAGCTCCACAGAAATTCTGGTTTTTCTGGAGAAACAGGAACTCAGCTAAACTTCCAGAAACAAAGCCCAGAACTTCTGCACCTACTTTTATTTTGTTATTGATCAGATAAACTGCTTAATTTTCACAAGTAATGTCAAGAATAAATATATCTAAAAATAACTGCCAACCCACCACCATCATCAAACCATAAGCATACCCATCCAATGAAGAACAACAGGAATAATCTTTATGGAAAAACCCACCATTTCTTTGTTATGAAAAATTACCCAAATAGCCAAATCTTTTAAATCACATGTTGACACCACTTCAACCACCTCTGGGCACAGAGCATGAAAGCAAAGAAATCTCCACAATCAAACCTAAAAATAAAGCTTAAAAACCATATTTGGCCCTGGCCCAGGTGGCTCAGGTGGCTGGAGCATCAGTACGCCAAAAGGTTGCAGGTTTGATTCCTGGTCCGGGCACATACCTAGGTTTCAGGTTTGATCTCCAGTCAGGGAATGTATGGGAGGCAACTGATCAATGTTTCTCTCTCACATCGATGTTCCTCTCTCCCTCTCTCTGTCTCTCTCTCTCAAAATCAGTGAACATATCCTCAGATGAGGATTAAAGAATCATACTGGAACCCCAGGTTTCAGGACAGTCCTCAATAGCCACAATAATAGAACAGACACTGCAAGCATATTGGCTAAGTATGCTAAAATAAAGCTATTAATCCTAAAAAAAAAAATCCACCAAATTTTATTACAGTAATATATCCAACCCTACCACTTACAAAAAGTAACTTTTATGAGCCATACATTATATATCAGATATAATAGCCTTTTCATCTGGAACACACATTTGCCAAAACATTAACTATGGCTAACTAATCCAACATATACATTCTAACAGAGCATCTCTAGTTTGCATGCCTGTATTTATTCATGTATGATGAGACATATAATGAGCCTGCATATGCAGAGACACCTGGAAATCAAAATGATCCCATTATTTTCGCATCTGGAATCAGCATTTATGGGCTATGTACTCCTATGAGTTTTCTGAGGAGATACAGTAATCACAAATCTACTTTCAGCTATCCATTATGTTAAAAGAATGAACCTGAAGTAAGTCCTTCCTTACATAGTTCTTTACTTTCCACTATTTTTACATGACAGAGGATCAAATAAACCCTCAGGAGGAACACCAAACATAAAGAGAATCCCATCCACCCTTAATGCATAATAAAAATACCTTAAGATTGATTTTCCCAATTACACAATTACCCGATAAGAGAGCTACTACCACAGCTGACCCCCAGAGCATGTGCTCTGCTGTCGCAGGTGCTAGCGACATGGAGCCTGCTGTCTGTCCTGCTCTGATGTTTATTTTCAAAGTCAAAGTCTCAAGTTAGTGTATCTGATTGGTGAAGCCTCAGTCACATGGATTCCCTCTGTACATGTGATAAGGTGAAAAAGGTAAGTTGTTTTGTTTTCTTTAATCTACCTTGAGAAGGCAGGCTTGACTTTTATCAAATGCAAATCTGCCATTTTATTTTACCTACTTTAAAAAATTCTTAAACTCTAGCTTGTTATTTAAGCATTGCTATAATTTCCTCTCAACATGTTTTCCCAAATTATTCCCCCAACCTCTCTCCCTCCTATACCCTACATCTTTCTCTCTTGCATTTCCTCCATTATCCCTTCCTCTCTTTTTTCTTACACACACACACACACACACACATTTCCTCTGGCTCCAGTACACTATAATCTCTGAAACACACCACCATCATTGCCCATGGTCCCCATTAGTAAAGATCTTCCCTCAGCTGAAATGATACTTTCACATAAAGTGTTCTCCATTTATCTCAGGTAGAAATGTTCACTCTTACATCAAAATTACACTGTATACAACACCTGCTTTATATTTTACCACACCTTTGTTAGCCTATACAGCTTCTTTGTCCAAAATCCCCAGCCCATCCATCAGACTGAGTTAGAAATTGTCCTTTATGCTCCTAAGCAACCTGAAATTAGCTCCAGTTTAGCACTTACCACAATGGATTGTAATTACCTGTTTTACATACCAGCATGTGAACTCCATTAAGGCTGTATGTGTGTTTATTCATCATTGTATTCCATGTGTATAGTACCCAATAGGTACTCATTAAGTATTTGTTGAATAGTAAGGAGAGGGAAACAAGAAAAAGCATTTATGACTGTGAGCTACTCAAAATGCCCAGGAAAATGTAATATACATGGTAGGCACACTGCAAAAGTTTATGAAATTCTTGGATAAAAAGGAATTAAATGACAATAGTAAGTTTACAAGTTTGTCTTCAGAATTTCCAGTGACTGCAGAGAGCAGTAATTAGATTGACTGCATTACTGAAAGAGCCCTTCTGCCAAGCTCTAATCCTGCTAGCAAACGGGAATGAGATCGGGCACGTGCTTGACTCTTACCTAAAGCCTTTCTCCAGGAGCAGCACGTGACCTTGCACAGGCAAGGGAACCAATCCACGACTGTTGCACTGGGGAATGTCTTACCCGTGATTCTACAAACCATTTGCCAGCATTCAGAGTTGACAGGAAATTCCAATAGAAGAAGGAACTTGATGAAAGGGATTCATTTGGCATGACCTCCCTGATATTGGTTGTTCTTCTCAGGTCGTGGTCATGCATGAGAAAAGGCACCCCATCAATACTGTAGGCAGAGGGAGAAAAGAGGGGAAGGGGTGGATAGGCTGTTCTCAGCCACCTTGGCACATAGAGTTCTCAGAAAGCCCATCAAGGTCTTACTAGGGTTCCTTACTCCCTCCCAAATCTCATCAAAGGATTAAGTATCAGTCATTTACAGTTTAATGTCCATATTTTTCTGCCCTAGAGCTGAATTTTTGTGATGTATCATATCAGTGATGGTGAAAGAGTAGCTTCCCTATCCAGGAGTTTTCTGGTATCAAGAAAACAGCAAGTATAGTAGTGACCTGAGAGTGAATAAGGTAGTACTGGGGCCAGGCCCTGAGGTCCCAGAACTATGCTAAAGAGGCATCCACACAATCTTCCTATGTTTTTCTGACCCATTTCCCAGCTAGACACCTGCCCTGAGTATTTCTGGTCCTAGATCCTTCACATCAGTTGGTATCATTAGGAAAGAACCTGGTTCTCTTATCTGGTATTTGCCTTGAAGAATCTCTGATTTTATGAAAATCTCTCTTCCTTTACTGTTAAAATACCTATGAAAAGAACTCTGTAATGGCCATGAGGGAGAAACAGAGTTGAGACTTAGCTTTCTGTTCATAAACAATTATAAAACTGGACAAAATGAGGGAAATAACTTTTTCAGCCAATGGACAACAGGGAGCACAGTATGATGATTTCAGAAAAGACAAATTAATGAAATAACCTCTACCATTATTACCCAGGCTTCCTTCCTTCTTGCAGGTGAATACAGGGCTGTAGCACAAGGAGGGGGAACCTAAAAGGGACCAGCTATTATGCTGAAATGAGGAGAAAGAGATCAGATTAAGAAGGGGTCAAGACAGATAGAATTTGTGGACTAGAGTCCCATAGAGGATGGAGCTACGAGACAGAGAGAAAGAGAGAGAGAGAGAGAAAGAGAGAGAGAGAGAGAGGTCTTGATTGATCTAGGGAAATATGTACAGAGGTAATACAGCTAAATATCAATGTGCAGATGTGCAGAATAATATTCTATAAAGCTTGCCAAGAACAAGTTCCAAGAAAAAAAATATTACCAGAAAGTTCTAAGACAAATAATTTGCAGAGTTCATACAGAGGTATAAATCATTTGAGTTCTATTCAATGACAGTGGAGAGACCTCAGTAACTGCACCATACTCTAGAGATTCCAGAGGGCCACATCTTAGAAATGGCAATAATTTAAAACTAAAATGGCTTTCAAGCCTCCCATCAAAGAACTTAAAAATAAGCCTACAAAGAATCAAACTAATCTGCAACTAACTTAATTGCCTGCTAGGAAAAGTCCACAGTTCTTCCAAGAATACAAAAAAATATAGCACCCAACATGGTAAATAACAATGTCCAACATGTAAATAAAAATTACCAGACGTGTAAGGAGACAGGAAAATGTAACATGACCAGGAAAAATTACTCAATGTAGACAAACTTGGAAATGAAAAAAATTCAGAATTAGTAAACATGGTATTAAACCATGTAAAACAAAACCCCACCAGGAATCGAACCAGTGACCTCTTGGTGCATGGGACGATGCTCAACCAACTGAGCCACACTGGCCAGGGCTGTGCCATATTTTTACATCTATTTTTCTACACTCTCTTTTCATTGGTATATTTGATCATTTACATTTAATATAATTATTAATATGTTAGGATTTAAATCTGCCATTTTAATATTTGTTTTATGTTTGTTCCCTCTAATTTTGTTTCTCTGTTTCTTCTTCCTGGCTTTCCTGTTGGTTATTTGAACACTTTAAAATCTATAGTGTTTTCTAGTATATTATCTCTGTATATTTTTTGGTGTAGTTGCCCCACAAATTACAATATATATACCTAATTTATCATATTTACTAATAATGTCAACATATTAACACTTCAAGTAGAATGTAGAAATTTAGATCCCTTTACCCAACTCCCTTCCTTTAATGAGCACATAATGAGAATGGCCAGAAGCACATGGCAAACACTCTGAAAACTAGATTGGATACAGTTGTCTTAAATATCTCAAAATCAACTGAGACCCTCATGAGACAAAGTTATGATTTTTTCCTTTTAAACATCAAACATAATTTTTAAACTCTGGAGGGGGAGAATTGTCTACTTACTTATATACTACCCTCTCTATTGCTCTTTCTTTATTCCTGGTGTTCCAAATTTCTCTCTCCCCACTTTATTGAGATATAATTAATATATAGCACTGTTAGATTTGATTGTACAATATAATGATTTGATATATGTCTACAAGTTGACTTTTTAAATCATTTCTTTTGTCTAAAGAACTTTTATTTCCATTTGACTCTTCCCTATTCCTTCTACTTTTTTGCTAAGACTTTCTACTTTTTCATTTAATGAGTGTTAATAATTTGTTGGAGACATTTTATGATAGTTGCTTGAAAATTCTTAGATAATTCCTACTCTCCTTCTTAGTATTGACATCTATTGATTACCTTTTCTCATTCAAGTTGAAATTTTTGTTGATTTTGGTATGGTGAAAATTTTGGATTTTATCCTGGCCAGTTTGGGTATTATGAGATTATGATTCCTTTTTTAAAAATTTATCTTTATTCTTGAAAATATTACAGATGTTGCCTTTTTCCCCCATTGACCCCTTCCACCTAGCACCCACTCCCGGCCCCAGGCCTTCACCACACTGCTATCTATGTCCATGGGTTATGCATATGCATGTAAATTCTTTGGTTAATCTCCACCACCCCCACCTTCCCTCTGAGAATTGTCAGTCTGTTCTATGCTTCTATGTCACTGAATCTATTTTGTTCATCAGTTTGTTATGTTCTTTAGATTCCCCATATAAGTGAGATCATGTGATGTTTGTCTTTCTCTGCCTGGCTTATTTCGCTTAGCATAATATTCTCCAGGTCCATCCATACTGTCCCAAAGGGTAAGAGATCCTTCTTTACAGCTGCATCTATTTTAGCAGGGTTACCATGTTTAGGCCAGGATACATGTCCTGGCACATGTTCTGTGGGCTATAGTTTAAATGCCAATCTAGTTTTCAGAGTGTTTGCCATGTGCTTCTGGCCATTCTCATAACGTGCTACCCAGAGGTCAATCTAAAAACTGGATGGTACTCCAGATCAATGTTCAGTTATCAGATCTTCTGCTCTTTTGCTTCTGTGTGGTCTCATACATGAGTTATACAAAGGTCTGCCTAATATTTTATATATAGGTTTTAAAAATCCCATGATCCACCATAGCAGTTTTTCAGAAAATTAAACAGAATTACCATATGGCCCAGCACCTCCACTTCCTAGTATATACCTAAAAGAATTGAAAGCAGATGTTGAAAAGATTTTTGTATACTCATGTTCACAGCAGCAGTATTCAAAATAGTCAAGAGACAAAAATAATCAAAATGTTTATTGGTGGATGAATGGATAAGCAAAATGTGGTACATACAAACAATGGAATATTATTCAACCTGAAAAAGGAAGGAAATCTTGTCACATGTTAACGCATGGATAAAACTTGAGGACATTATTCTAAGTGAAATTAGACAGTCAAAAAGATTAATACTGTACGATTCCACTTATATAAGGTATCTAAAGTAGACATACTCATGGAAACAGAAAGCAGAATGGTGTTTACTAGAAGCTGAGGGGAGAAGGAAAAGGTGTTTAATGGGTATAGAGGTTCAGATTTGCAAGATGAAAGTGTTCTAGAGATCTGATTCACAATGTGAGTACACTTAACACTACTGAGCTGTACACTGAAAATTGTTAAGATAGTAAATTTCACGTTATGTATTTTTTAACACAATAAAAAAGGAAAGAAATTTTGGCATATGCTATAATAGAGATGAACGTTGACATTAAGCTAAGTAAAATGAGCCACACGATAAAGAACAAATATTGTGTATTTCCACTTATATGAGATAACTAGGGTAGTCAAATTCACAGAGACAGAAAATAGAACAGCAGTTGCCAGGGCCTGAGGGGAGGAGAAACCAAGGAGTTATTATTTAATAGGTACAGAGTTTCAGCTTGAGAAGATGAAAAGTTCTAGAGATGGATGGTAGTGATGGCTCTAAAACAAGGCCAATTACTTAATGCCATTGAATTGTATAATCAAAAATAGTTAAATTGAGAAATTTTATGTTAAGTATATTTTTACCACAATAGAGATCACTAGATAACTTATTTCAGTAATTCTCTCCTTGCTCTGTAGCTAGGGGAGTGAGGAAAGGGGTATCCCCTCTTATTTCAGGGCAGGAATGGAAGACAGGGATCTGCTCATCATCTCTAGGGCCAGGGGCCCAGGCGGGGAGGGGGGGAATGGCTTTATTGTGATGTTCACATGAGTAGGGCTGCTATAGTCAACATGTTTATATCCTGCTGGGCTACACTTCTCCCAGGCTTTTGCTAGAAAGAGTAGCCTTTGGAGGGGGTATTTTTTTTCTATCTGCCACTACAAGTGTTTTCTGGGTTTCAGGTCTCTCTGGAGCCACATAAGAATATATGAGGAAAACACAAAATGAAACAACAAAAAAAAACAGGGAACTCACTACCTACTTGGTATTTCTTTGAGTCTTATGAACCCTAGCCAGTCCACCTTCATTTCTCCACCTTTCAGAGTCTTCTGTCAGTTGCTTGGTGAATTTTGCCCAACTTATAATTTTTTGATTTATTGATTGATTGATTTCCTGGAAAGGATAGGGTGGGATGTGCTTACTCCATTTTCTCTGAAACATATGTTATGGTAGCTTGCTAGTTTTATACTCATGGGATATTCTTTAATCTCTTTAAGTAGTTAACCACATTTACCACTTAGTAATTCTTGAGATTAAATTTTTCCTGTTCAGCTTACTGGGGTGATATTCCTGTCCTGACTGATATGTAATTTTGGGTATTGATGAAGCTTAGGGTATGGTCATCAATGTAAATGGTGGAGTATATGGAGATGATCACTGGAAATGAAGATGTCGTCAAGTAGATGAATCAGGGTTTCAAAACCCTGATTCAAACATTGTGCATCAAACAGTTGTCACTGTTGGGTAATAGCAAGAACCCCAGAGAAACAGAGGTGCTGGAAGGATCATCTATCTACATCACAGCTGAAGTCACAGAAACAAGGGAAGAGAGAAAGACCATGTGTCAGGAGCTCAGCACCTTTACCACATTATGCCATGACCACCAAGCACTTCCACAAATAAACCCAGGAGCTCTGACAGAACATCCTGTTTCAAAACCCTGATTCAAACATTGTGCATGGAACAGTCGTTATTGTTGGGAATATCAAGAACCCCAGTCTGGGGTCAGGAAATCTAGGTCCAATCTTGGCTTTATCAGGGACATTTCAGCCTTATGACCTTACCAATACATTTCCCTTCACTGAATCTAGGTTCAAACCACATTTCCTCATCTCTGAATTTGTTCATTTCTTTTCTGTTTGCCTCACAGAAAGGCGGCAAAGGCAGTTTGTACACACCACATTCACAAAATCCTCATGCTAGAGATGAAGCCTTTCTACTTCCAGGCTGCTCAGGTACATAGATTTTATAGCAAGCAGGTCTTTTGTCCACACCACTGCTCTGATCCAAGTATTCCATTGTTTTCCCTTGGACATTGTTACAGCCCAGTGCCCATCTCCTTGAGAAGTCTCTCTCACAGATTGCTAGATGAATATTTCTAAATCACATCTTTTAAAACAATAAGGAAATCTGTCAAAACCTAGGATGACTGCCCATTATACACTTAGGAATCTCCAATGTCTAGCTTCAGTGACCCTCACAGCCATACCTCCTCCTCACATGGCCCGCTTCTATCTCCAAGCTTATCAATTTGGCATCCATACAGGCTAGTTCACTGATCTACAAAGCTGTTGTTTTTTATTTAGATGCCTTTGAATAAGTTGTCCCTGCCTGGAATATACTCTATCAACATATCTTCTTATAAAAAAATATTTCTCCTTCAGGACTCAACCCAAACACAATTCTGAGTACACAGGTCTTTTTTCCCATAATAGGAGGTGACCTTTTCCTCCATGTTTGATCTATCTTTCTGGAAGGCACACGCCACAAATGGTCTCATACTGGGGTAAACGTGCCATGTCTCCTTCACTGGCTGGGAACATCCCTTAGGCAGGAGTATAGTACTTACTTGCCTCTCAATTGCACTCAGAAGAAGGCCTGGAATATAGTAGGTGTCAAGGGACTGTTAGGTAAACATATTGTTGGTAGTGCTTGGGGTTAAGTGTTAAGCATGGTTTACAATACGGGCATATTGAAATTATGTTTGGAGTCTATATAGACTCTGTAGGATTTATGACCTTATAATTTAAAATGTAGTGATACAGATGTATGCTTGCAAGGGAGAAGTGGTTCGTGTGTGTGTGTGCGTGTGCACACGCTATGTGCACACGTGGCTAGGAACACAGGAGAAACTCCCAGAGGCTTGTCCTCTCTACAACTTGGGCCAGGCTGGTCATCTTCCATGGCACTGACCTTATCTCCTCCCCACCCAGCCCCTGCTTTCCTACCTTAAATATATATCAGTCTCCAGCCCAAATGCCTCATTTTCAACAGCTTTCTCAAAGGACATCATGGTGTTCTCAGGCGCCAGCTGTGGAAGAAAAGGACATCAGACCCTCTAGCTCTGACTTTCTCCCCACAACATCCCTTTTAGAGCACAGAGGGAGCCCAATAATAGCAGGGTCTTAGGAAGCAGACTTTGGCTCCTTTGGCAATTATTTCAAAGAGCCTGCCTATATTCTCTTCTATCCAATATGATCTGGGACTCTGCTTATCTGAGCACATGTCACTGGGCACAGTAAAGAGAAATGGACTGAGAGTTAGATGACTTGGGTTCAAGTCCAACATCTACAACGAACCCTTTATTCTTGTCATCAAAGCCAACCCCTTTTCCTCTCCAGAGATTCCTACATTTCTGAGGTCCCCAATCTCATTCATAAACCCATGCTCACTGGTACTCACCCAAGTCCATCATGCTCAGACCTACCATGGGTGCACCTCTATGTCCAAAGAGGTCTGGCTTGGGTCCCAATTTATGCCTCTCCTGAAGGCAGGGAGAATAAAACCCCCACGGCACCACAAGCAGACATAAAAGGATGAGAAAAAATGGCAGTCCAATAGCCACTTGTGCAGCTGAAAAGGTTGGAAGGAGTGGAGAGTGAGAAAAATGATAGAGGACTGGAGACCCGTCCCAAGCAACTAACTATCCCAAAGCAGCCGTCAGTAGAGACCCAGTGCGCGGGTTTCATTGACTCTGTGGACTGTCTGGATTTACTCTCCGTTCCCATCACATTCCCATTTATTTGCAGCGATTGGAAAGTAGAGCACTATCCAAATGTAAGCACTGTTATTAAGGCAATACTATCTGACTGGAAACCCCTGGAAATGAATTGTGCAGGAGGTGGAAGCAAAGGAAGGGGAGGGCATGTTAAGGACTGCCCTCCACCCTCAGGAGTAGGAGTAGAACGGCTGGTGCTGAGAAAGCCCTGAAGCCTGTAAAGATTCGCCTAAAATGTCCAATATATAAAGCAGTGCAGGATAGAGGGAGAGGCACTGGCTGACAGAAGTCTCTACCACTGTCTAATGTGTGACTAAGGACACATTGCTTACCCTCTCGGGGTCTCCATTTTCTTCATTCTGAAAAAAGGGGCTATCTCGCTGCTAACAACTACCTCATAGAGTTGATATGAGAGTGTTTACCTATAACAGGTACTCAATAAATATTAGGTATTTGCTTCTGTCTCTTTCTCTCTCTCTCTCTCTCTCTCTCTCTCTCTCACACACACACACACACACACACACACACATATACACACACAGCTGGTCCACAATGCCTTTTATCACTGGTCACTCCCTAACACTTATAATTGTAGACCTCTGAGGATTTTACCATTTGTACATTTTTAAGTTACCACCTATACTTCAGTTACTTTCAAATCTGTATCACCAGCTCTAACCTCTCAGCTTTGCGAGTCTAGTACATCTCTTGTTTCTTTTTCTCTTATGATGTGTACNCAGCTCTAACCTCTCAGCTTTGTGATTGTATTACATCTCTTCATTTTTTTCCTCTTGAAAAACATCATCTGGTATCTTCTGAATCTAGCTAAAATTTCAGAAATGAAAAAGAAAAGAATTCATTATTGTCCCCTTTAAGCTCTTGCCCCAAAACATTTCCTACAATTTGCCCTCCACATACACACAGACACAAACACACAGTGACAACACTACATACTCATACACAGTGATACAAACACACAGTAACAACACTACACACACATACACNCACATATACACAAGTACAAACACACAATGGCAACACTACATACACATACACACAGGTACAGACACACAGTGGCAACACTACATACACATACACACAGGTACAAACACACAATGGCAACACTACATACACATACGCACAGGTACAGACACACAGTGACAACACTACCAATCCAGCCACAGCCTTGTCTCCACCCCTGTCCAAGCAGGAAGCAAACACTCCTTGTCAAACCCGTAGTAAAAGGAGATCCATAAAAAGAAGATCCTACTGGTTTCTCAGTAAGGGCGCTGAGGGATAACTCCATTCTCAAAACAATTTCATGTACAGCTCTGATCCTCTTTTGTTTCCATGACATTAGGGCAAAGAATGGAGAGGAAGCCAGTGGCAGAGGTAGACATTTCTGCTTCTGTTCTAAGTTCCCAGGTGTGACAGGGACTCACAGGCACCTGCTTTTCATTACTAGAATGTAACCAGGCATATCGGGACCTGGTGTATGTTCATCAGTTGAAACTAGTAACATCTGAATACAATCTAAAGGAACTATGACTAGTACCATCACTCTGTCAACTAAAATTAAAATGGCCTCTACCCTCCCCCAACCCCTTTCCATTTCCAGGCAGTCACTGTGTAACAACATGGAGACAATTCTTACTTTCCCAAGAGAATCCCTCTTTAGAAGGCCTGTTTGGTCACAAAAATGTTCTGACAGGCCACGTGGGGTTGTGAGTTTGACCACAAGGAACATGCCTGAGTAAGAAGCTAAATGAATTTCAGAGTGGCACGGTGATGGCTGTCTACCAAGCTTGTGTTCTGCTGAGTAGAGTATGTAAGCTAAAGCCAGAGCTGAAAGGGTCAGGCTCCACCCACAGGACATACCTTCTTGTTCCAACTGGACCAAGTAGAAGGCCACAGGCCAGAAAAGGAGAACCATCATGGTTATGCTGCAGAGATGCAGGTGGGGAGCAAAGACCTGGGAGAAAGCCAAATGTCAGGCTGACCACGCTGGACAAACAGTGCTAGACCTACAGGGTGATGCTTACCTTCAGTGACAGCCCAAACGTCAGCCACCTCTCCTTCCAGTAAATACATAAAAGTGACAAAAAAAACNATGTAAGCTAAAGCCAGAGCTGAAAGGGTCAGGCTCCACCCACAGGACATACCTTCTTGTTCCAACTGGACCAAGTAGAAGGCCACAGGCCAGAAAAGGAGAACCATCATGGTTATGCTGCAGAGATGCAGGTAGGGAGCAAAGACCTGGGAGAAAGCCAAATGTCAGGCTGACCACGCTGGACAAACAGTGCTAGACCTACAGGGTGATGCTTACCTTCAGTGACAGCCTCAATGTCAGCCACCTCTCCTCCCAGTAAATATTTAAAAGTAACAAAACAATGGAGCATATCCCAATCACTAGCACAATCAGGATCTGGGGAAACAAACAAACAAACAAACAAAAATCTCCTGACTTCCAGGCACTAGGCTTGGATCAGAACTGTCCTTGGGAATCTTAGGTGTGTCCCCAAGATGTCAGGGACCTCCTTTCCTCATCCTTTTAATCTGACTATCCTGCAAATCCCCAGTATTGGATGGAGCCAATCGTTTACCTTCTTTGCTCCCAAGTCTTTGTTGTGTAGCACGGCTGGAAACAAATTACACAGCTACGTGGTCTGATGCCTTTACTAATTATCATCTCCATCCTCAGCTGGGCCCTCAGCATTGCCTGGCATCTCTCACTCAGTCTCAACAATGGCCACTAGAGATATTCACTATTTTTTTTATTCAACTCAATGCAGTCACAAATAAATAATATTTTAGAATCCCCTTTTCAATGTATGTTTTCCCCAACAGACTGTACACTTCATGAGATTAGTAAAAGATTTATGATTATATTCTCCCTGCCTTGCAGATTGCCTGACACATAGTAAGCATTAAATAAATACTTTTGAACAGATGAAAAGAATCCACCTGCCAGAACACGATACACTTCATAGAGAACATTAAGACCAAGTAGATATAAGTTTAACTTCTTCCCCTTGAAATGTTGTCTTTCTACATCTGTCCTGCTTTCATGACAATGATTGAGTGCTCAAGAGAGTGCTCAGTTACTTTCTTTCCATAATCTGTGTATCTATTAAAGTAATTGAGACCATAAACTTCTCATAAAATAACTCCAAACCTTGCTGGTATGAATGTTTAATTTACCAAATACTATTTAAGGCAGAAATATTTCTAATCTTTAACAAGCTCTTCCAGGGACTAGAAAGAGAGATAACACTTTCTAACTTCTCCATTTAAGCCTACAAAACACTGATACCTAAACTCAACAAAGACCTTACAAGAAAATAAAAAATACAGTCCTGTGCCACAATAACGCTTTGGTCAATGACCAATCTCATATACAACGGTAGTCCCATAAGACTATAACGGGCCCTGCAGGGCATGGCTCAGTGGTTGAGCATCGACTTAGGATTCAGGAGGTCATGATTCGATTCCCAGTCAGGGCACATGCCTGGGTTGTGGGCTCGATCCCTAGTCGGGGGTGTGCAGGAGGCAGCTGATCAATGACTCTCTCATTATTGATGTTTCTATCTCTCTCTCCCTCTCCCTTCCTCTCTCTGAAATCAATAAAGATATGTTTTTTAAAAAAGATTATAATGAAACTGAAAGTTTCCTATTGCCTAGTTATGTCATAGTCATCATAATGTCATTTCGCAATGCATTAGTTAATTATTTGTGGTGATGCTGGTGTAAACAAGCCTACTGCACTCCAATGGTAGAAAAGAACAATATCTTTTCTATGTTTAGTTTTGTTTAGATTCACTAACCATTGTGTCAAAATTGCCTACAGTATTCAGTGCAGTAACATGCTGTGCAGGTTTGTAGCCTTGGAGCAACAGGCTATAATATTTAGGGTTGACTAAGTACACTATGATGTCGCACAATCACAAAATCACCAAAGAATGCATTTCTCAGAACACATTCCTGTGGTTAAGTGACACATGACTATATAGGCCTAACTCTCCTATGTACATAGATGCAAAAATCTTAAATAACCTATTACTGTCTTTGTTTATTGTTTCTAATAGTTTTTTTGGTGAAGTCTTTAGGGTTTCCTATGTACAGAATCATATAATCTGCAAATAGTGACACTTTTACTTCCTCCTTCCCAATTTGGATGCCTTTTTTTCATTCTCTTCCCTGATTGCTCTGGCTAGGACTACCAGAACTATGTTAAGTAAGAGTTGTAAGAGTGGATATCCTTGTCTTGTTCCTGATCTTAGAGGAAAAGCTTTCAGTTTTTCACCACTGGGTATTGATATTGGCTGAGGGTTTGTCATATATGGTCTTTATTATGTTGAGGTATTTTCCTTCTATGCCTATTTTATTGAGTGTTTCGATTGTAAGTGAATATATCTCATCAAATGCTGTTTCTGCATCTATTGATAAGATCATATGATTTTTACCCTTTTTGTTAATGTGGTGTATTACACTGGTTGATTTGCATATGTTGAATCATCCTTGCACTCCTGGAATGAACCCCACTTGATCGTGATGTATCACTTTTTAATGTATTGTTGTATTCAGTTTGCTAGTATTTTGTATAGGATTTTTGCATCTGTGTTCATCACAGATATTGGTACGTAATTTTTGTGTGTGTTATCCTTGCCGGGTTTTGGTATCAGGGTTATGTTGTTTTCATAAAATGTGTTAGGAATTATTGCCTCTTCTTCAATTTTTCAGAAAAGTTTGAGAAGAATAGGTTTTAAATCTTCTTTGAATGTTTAGTAGAATTCACTGGTGAAGCCATTTGGTCCTGGACTTTTATTTTTTGGGAGGTTTTTGATAATTGTTTCAATTTCCTCACTGCTGATAGGTCTATTTGGATTTTCCAGTTCTTTCTGATTCAGTCTAGAAAGGCTTATGTATTTCTAGGAACTTATCCATTTCTTTTAGGTTATTAAATTTGGTGGAACAGAGTCTTTCATAATATTCTAGTACGATCCTTTGTGTATCTGTGATGTCTGTGGTTAACTTCTCCTCTTTCATTTCTGATTCTGTTTGAGTCTTTTCTCTTTTTTTCCTTAGTGAGTTTAGCCAGGGGATTGTCAACTTTATTATTTTTCCCAAAGAAGCGGCTCTTCATTGTATTAATTTTTCTGTATAGTCTTTTTGTTCTCTCATTCAACTCTGCTCTGATTTTTATTATTTCCTTTCTCCTGCTGACTTTGGGTTGCTTTTGTTCTTCTTTTTCTAGTTCTTTAAGATGTGATGTTAAATTGTTTACTTGGGATTTCTCTTGTTTCTTGAGACAGGCCTGTAGTGATATAAACTTCCCTCTTATTACTGCTTTTGCTGCATCCCAGAAGTTTTGGTATGTTATATTGTCATTCTCATTTGTCTCTCTATATCTTTTGATCTCACTTTTCATTTCATCTTTGACCCAGCCATTTTTTAGTAATATGTTGTTTAATCTCCACATATTTGTGGGTTTCCTTAATTCCTTTATTGCAGTTGATTTCTAATTTCAAAGCACTGTGATCAGAGATTATGCTTGGTATAATTTCAGTCTTCTTGAATTTGTTGAGGCTAGTTCTGTGACCCAACATATGGTCTATCCTTGAGAATGTTCCATGTGCACTGGAGTAGAATGTATAATCTGATGTTCTGAAATGAAAGGCTCTGTAAATGTCAATTATGTCCACTTGGTCTAATGTGTCATTTAAGGTACAGATATTTCTGTATTGACTTTCCGTTTGGATGATCTATCTAGAGCTGTCAATGAAGTATTAAGGTCCCCAACTATGATTGTGTTTTGGTCTGTTTCTCCCTTTAGTTCTGCGAGTAGTTGCTTTACATAGTTCGGTGCTACCTGATTGGGTGCCTATATATTGAGAAGTGGTGTATCTTCTTGATGTAGTGTCCCCTTTATCATTATAAAATTCCCATCTTTGTCTCTTGTTACCTTTGTTATCCTGAAATCTATTTTTTCAATTATAAGTATGGCTACACCTGTTTTTTTGTGGATATTTGCCTGGAGAATCATTTTCACTTTGAATCTGCCTTTGTCTATGCAGCTTAGATGTGTCTCCTGAAGGCAATATATGGTTGGGTTTTGTTTTTTGATCTAATTTGCTACCCTGTGCCTCTTTATTGGTGAATTCAGTCCATTTACACTTCGGGTGATTATTGATGTATGAGGATTTCCTATATACATTTTCTCTTGTTTTCTGGTAGCTCCGTGCCTCCACTGGTTCTTTTCCTTTGTGTTTCTGCCTGCTGTTTTTGCTTGGTGGTATTCCAAACTTCTTTCCTCTGTTTCCTCTTTTTCTAAGCTAAGTGTCTTAATTTTTTTTGTTTTTGTTTTATGTGTGTGGTTACCATTAGATTTATGAGAAAGTTCCATATATAGTGTAGTCCTTTTTCTTTTGAATGTATCTGACCTCCATCCTCCTTTGTCAATTCAGACCTTTTCCCCCTCCCCTTTTATTTTTTGGTTGTCACAAATTATCTCTGTTTATGCTGTAAGTTTGTTAGTTATCTTACTTGTAAATCTGTGACCTTCTTGAGAATAACCTCCTTGAGTATTTCCTGCAGTGGAGATCATCTAATGATGAATTCCCTCAACTTTTGTATGTCTAGAAAAAGTCTTTATTTCTCCTTCATATTTAAAGGATAACTTTGCTGGATATATTATTCCTGGCTGGTAATTTCTTTCTTTCAGTAGTTTGAATTTTGATTCCACTCTCTTCTGGCTTGTAGAGTTTCTGCTGAGAAGTCCGATGATAACCTAATGGGTTTTCCTTTATAGGTTACTTTCTTCTTTTCCCTGGCTGCTTTGAGGATCCTTTCTTTGTCATTAATTTTGGATGGTTCTAATAAAATGTGCCTTGAAGAAGGCCTTTCTCGATTGAGGTAACTAGGTGTTCTGTTTGCTTCTTGGATTCAAGGATCTAGTTCTTTCCATAGGTTTGGGAAATTCTCATCAACTATTTGTTTGAATAGGCTGCTTCCTTCTCCCCCTCTTCTTCTGGTATGCCTATTATTCTTGTATTACTCTTTATGATGGAGTCAGATAGCTCTCATAGAGTTCTTTCATTTTTTTATGCTCAAGTCTCTCTCTTCTTCCCTCTGCATCATTTCTAGACTTCTATCTTCAATATCACGGGTCCTTTCCTCCATTTGGTTTGCTCTGTTTCCTATGATTTCTAGTTCATTCTTCCTCTCTTTAACTCAGGGGTAGGGAAACTTATCTGCCAAGGCCCATTTGGATATTTATAACATCATTTGTGGGCCATACAAAAGTGTCAACTTAAAAATTAGCCTGCTATATTTGGTCAAACATTTAATTAACTCACCAAATGGGGCAGACCAAATGATTTCGCAGGCCTTATGTGGCCTGTGGGCCTGACGTTCCCCACCCCTTCTTTAATTGAAGTCTTCATCTCCAGGATTTGTTTAGTTCTTTATTTTAAAGTTTCAATCTCTTTGGTGAAGTACTTGTTTTGTTTGTTGTTCTCTGAGTTCATTAAATTGCCTGTCTGTATTTTTTCGTATCTTATTATTTTCAGAACTGCAATCTTGAATTCTCTGTCATTTATGTCACATATTTCCATGTCTTTAAGTTTGTTTTCTAGAGATTTTTCATTTTCTGTTCGAGCTGCCTCATTACCTTGGTTATTCAAGACATTTTATGTATTTCTTCTCTGTCTAGGCATCAATGTGTAGATTGCACTTCTCTAACAGATTAACACAAAGAGGTCTTTCTATTATTTTTCAGTAGGTGGCGCTAAATCACAAGTTTGTTTTTTTAGCTCTGTGATATCCCAGCACTGTCTCCTCCAGCCTCTTTGGTCAGTGTAGCTGTGATGTGTCAGGTGAGGGTGGGCTTGGTGATCCCCAGGTTATTTGTTGTTTTATGCTCAGTAATGACAGCCTCTGTCCTCCATCAGGGTGCCCCCAGTGTTCCAGTCAGAGTGTACCCTTTGCTCAGGGAGAAATTTGATTCTGCAGTATTAGATCTCGAGTACACATTCTCAGGCGTGCAGTTAATGAAGTCTATAACCTGACATCAACAACAAAGGGAAGCAATCTCTGAGAGGTTGACAGGAGGTGGCCAAGCTTGGTAGCTTTGTTTCACCTCTTGCCCAACAACCACAGCTACTCTCCTGTGCTGTGTTCTTGCCCAGGTCTCTGGGCTCAGCCGCAGCTAGTGCTACTCACTCCTGCTGGACTGCTCACTGAGTCTCTCTGTTCCTTCCAGTTGAAGAGGGTGTCAGTTACAACCAGATCCCTCCCATCCCTAGGCTGAACCCCAAAGGAGCTCCTGGCTGCCGGGCTGCGTTTCTGGCTCATATCAGCCTCACTCCTTTTCACCTCTCCCTTTTGATTCACTTGTCCACCTTTAAATGTTTCAATGCATGGATCTGTCAGGTATATGTGTGTGTTGAGCAGGGAATCCTTAACATTGAGATATGACTATACAAACTGTTGTAACTTCTAGGAGAGAGACCAAGGGAATCTCTCATGTTGCCATTCCTCTGATGTCATCCTTCATTGTAATAATTCTTAAATATACATTTCCAGTTCATATGTCTCATTAGAGTAAGAGTAAACTTAAGAGGACCGCTCCGAGTTTGACATGCTCCTGGATTTCAGGAATCACAAGGAAATGTACCAAAACCATGCCTGAAACAAGAGGTTGTGGGTGGAGCTGCTCAAGCACAGANAAGAGGCTGTGGGTGGGGCTGCTCAAGCACAGCAGAACAAAATGAGGGAAGCTATGTTGGAAATGACCTGCATGTTCACAGATGGTGGGGCAAATGCCTGCTTTCTGGGGACCAAATATAGATCCTTTGAGAGAAGCTATGCTGGTGTCATTTTAAAAGCTCCAAATAAAGGTACCTCACCAGACAAATTTCAGGGGCTATAGGAAGACAGGCAATGTCTCCACCAAGAGAGCTGTAGTCAAGGTTCTCAGCACAAGGGTCTCTGAAAATACACATGGAAACAGTCCAGGGGGTAAAGAGCCAACAACTGTGCATTTACCTGGTCCTGATGACCCTCTTGCCCTTCCTTATGGGACTGTGTTCTTTTATCCTGTCTCCTGTTCACCTGCAACCCCCTTTGGTGACATAGAGGTAATAGGACCATCATGCTCTTTCCACCAGTGCAGGCTTCCAGCAATAGGGGAGGGGGAAAGTCTTATGAAGTTGGAGTCTGGATTATTACAATGAACTGAATTTTTAATGACTGGCATGAGAATGTTCTTGTCACTATATAGGACTAGGAAAGTAATGGAGCTTGTCTAAGATTTTATTGGGATGGGAAGAGCAGAGTCACAGAGTGAGTTTAGTAAGGAGTGGTGAGAAAAAATAAAGTTTGGGTTCAGATCATTCAGGATATCAGTTACATCTGTTAGAAATTTAATGATTCCAGTTTAAAAAGAGTAAGTAGATCTTTCTAAGGGGAGCAATGAAGAAAGCAAGGCTCTGACTTAACACTGAGTGCCCAGGGGCACATTCAGTCCTGGTCTAAGATTCCTGTGAAGATTCAGATGTCCTACCTTATGACTCCAGTGCAGGTATAATTCATACCCTTCCCGAAATACCAAAAGTGCAAGTATCTGAAAAAGCAAAGAAGAAAAAGGAGGTTATTTTGAAGTCACCAAGTTGTGGCCCACAGCACTGTTCTGTATTCAAATGCTTTTCACTACACTCACGTCTTGTTATACCTGCGTCCTTCAACCTCTGGGAGTTTGCCATGCTGTTTCTCTGCCTGAAAAGCTCCCCTTCCAATGCCACTGACCTTTCAAATCCAGTTCATAGGTTACCTTCTATTCATAACTCTTACCAGCACCCCCAGGAACAATTATTATTTTCTCTGAAATTTCACAGCAAAGCCCCATGCTGATATCCTTCCTGAATTCCTACCAGTTTCTTTTCCCTGGATGGACCTTACTCCTGGTATTACTTAGACCCACTTGTAAGAGAACAGATGTCAGAGGCCAGCACTTTCCAGGGTCATTTAAAAGCTCTTTCTTGAGGAACCAGTGTCGTCGTTACAACTGTTCACCACTGTTGTTAATACTGGTGTTTAGTCAATAAATCTTAGATTTCAATGTAAATCTAGCCAGGCATCAAGTCTGTGTGGAGAGCTGAAAACTGGAGTCCTCAGATGCTTAGGATGTTACTAAGAGTTGGAATATATATGGCACTTACATTTTATCAAAATAATTTTATGTATATGATTTCATTTCTTCACCTAGGCTTATATAATACCATTTTGTTAAATATTATTCTCATTTTCATTTGAAATAAAAGAAAACTGGGTCTCAGAAGAGTTATATAACTTGATCAAGTTACAATATAAGCTAAAGATAGAGCTGGAATCACTGTTGTATCCATTGCATGTATCCAAAAAAGGTAGAGTAGAGTAGGAAGTTTGTTAAAATACATGCCTTATTGGACAGTAGAACACAACCCACCTCAGCAGCTAACACAATAAACAGCACTCCACTTTTTATTGTCTATGAAAGCAGTACAATTCAGTGGCCAGAGTCTGCATTTTCCCCATTATAAAGAAAAGTGTCTAACTGGTCTCTCTGCCTATAGTCACCATCTACACAACCAGGATGGTTTTCGTAAAATAGAAATCTAATTTATGCCAAGTGTCTTAGACTTACTTTCCAAGCCTTCCAAAAGCTATCAGAAGCCTATCGTTTCAGCCATGTTCCTTATTATTCTTCATCATGCCCTTCATGCTAACAGAACTGGCCTTTCCCCACTATATTGTCACACCCCATATTTCTCTATCTTCCCAACTTCCTCAGCCTGGAATGTTCTCCTCCACCCCATATGCTCACATCCAAATCCAACATCCCTTCAAGATTCCACTCCAGGGCTGACTCTTCCAAGAAGCCTTACTTACTCCTCTTGGCAGATGTCGTCTCTTCCTGCTCAGAATCCATGCAGAACTTTATTTAGGTTTCTCTAATGACAATTATAATACTCTGCCTGTGTTAGTTATTTTTGTCTATCAAAATTCTAAACTTATTGAATTAAGGGGCTGTTGTAACTTTTAATCTCATACATATCTCTTTGAAATGCCCTGCATAAAAACAGAAACTGCTTTTTTAAATTTCTGTATACTCATTACTTATCACTCATAATGGCCAATACATTTTATGGGGGAAAAAAAAAATTGCAAATGGCACCTGATTTGAGGGTTGGGTTTTTCTGTATCAGACAGGAAATCAGTAGGGGCAAAAAACAGCGATGTAAACGTATATGTCCTGTGTATATATGGGCACTAAAAAACTCTAAGTACCTAAATGTTGTCTTCCCATAAGCTTTCCATTTCCACAGACCTTCCTCTTGCCTGGACTGAATTTCTCTCCCTGTAGGACACTACTATGCAACAATGGAGACAGGGTCGCTATTGCCAAAAGACTTTTGCTAAAATTTAATTTGCACCTGAACTAGCTGACCAGCATTTGCACATTATGACAGGTTTAAAAAATTAGCTAATTTGTAAGGCTCAAAAAGACTGATTCTCAGGAGATGGGAAATGAAATGGGTTAGTTCAATGTAAAAGTACTGCTAATATGAAGCTGTGTGGGTGCCTAAAATAACAATATTGAGTGAACCATAAAATAGGCTTATGAAACAGGGGTAGAAAAAGGATGTTCTACCACCCTTTCAAAGGGTCAAAGTGATAAGATGTATCCTCTAATAGCACAAGTCTATCTTTCTCCATTGATCCCTTGTGCCTAAAATTCAAGCAGTTGATGTAAACCCCAACTCTACTTAGACAAGAGTGATCTTAGGTTCCAAGGGCTCCCGGCACCACTGGGCACCATACCATAGACAGGAGCACCTCATGAGGCTGCTCAGGAAGGGAGTAGGAGAAATGGGGAACATTACTCACCAACAGCAACGAAGTGTAGGCAACCAGGATTCCAAATAAACTCAGCAAAAGAATGGACCCAATAGTCCAGTATCCTGTAACTAGATAAATAACCCTGCAAAAATGTATTTCAATCCTTAAAATATAGCAGAAAGTAGTTGTCTCAGAGTAATCTAGGTGAGGCATAAGAAAACTGAGGGAGATAAGAGGAGCATTTTGGGAACATATCTGTGAAGAGCTTTGGGGATATTCAGTTAGGAGTTTTAACTCTGTCCTATAGGCAATCAGGTACTTTAACGGGGATCTGTATAAGTGGTATGATTTTTTAATGTTATTTAGAATATATACTCAAAAAATATGTCCTTTTTAGAAAGTAATATAATAATACAGAAATTCTGAAATGCCAAAAAAGATAAAGTCATCCATAAGTTCACCACCTTAACAAAACTAATACTTTGGCCCTGGTCGGTGTCACTCAGTGGTTACAGCATCAGCCCATGCACCAAAGGGTCGTGGGCTTGATTCCCAGGCAAGGGCAGGGTTGCAGGCTCATTCCCTGGCTTCAACTGGGCTGTGCACACAGGAGGCAACCAATCAATGTGTCTCTCTCAGATCAACGTTTCTCTCTCTCTCTCTCTCTCTCCACCTCCCTCCCTCCCTTCCACTCTCTCTAAAAAATCAATGGAAGAAATATCCTCGGGTGAGGATTAACAAAAAAACAATATATCCCAGCCAGCATAGCTCAGCGGTTGAACATCGACCTATAATCCAGGAGATTGCAGTTGAATTCCCAGTCAAGGCACATGCCCGGGGTGCGGGCTCGATCCCCAGTAGGGGGCATGCAGGAGGCAGCCGATCAACGACTCTCTCATCATTGATGTTTCTCTCTCTCTCTCTCCCTTCCTCTCTCTGAAATCAGTAAAGACATGTTTTTTTAAAAAACTGAACTAAACTAATACTTTCCATTTGGGCAGATTCCTTGTCCATGTCCCTGTATGTTTTCTTACATAATTGTAATAATGGCCACCACATTAATTGCTCTATTCTGTATAAAAGATTTGGACTGTTAAAACAGTCCTGGTGTGTTCTTTTCCAAAGGTAGTTTATGAGAGAAAACTACTAATGATTTGCTAAGAGAAATAGTGTTATAGTTGGTCTAGATATCATATGTCAAAAAATTTAGACTTTATTTCAAGATAACAGAAATCACTTCCTCTCCATATAAAACCCAGATAAATTATATTTTAACAATATAACATTAAATTAGTGAACATACAACCACAGTAAAAATAAGAAAGGAAATTCTCTTTGGTCAGGGGTATAAGACACAGCAAGAAGAAAGAAACAGACAAACAGCTATCCTAGTGAGAGCCACTCTAGATCAAGACACTGGCGAGAGTACTCTGTACATGAGTCTACAACCAGGAATCAGAAAATATGTAAGGAATGTGAACAAATGAACTGAATAAAGTCAATAAATAGAGTAACTTGCACCCAACCCTATATTATTAATAGAATCATCAGAAAAGAACCACAAAATAAAAATATTTAAGATATTCAGAGAAATAAAGGACTCACATCAGCATAACAGAAATAGGGTATTAACACAATCATGGTGATTATCAAAACAATGTAACAGATATCTTGAAAAGGAACATGAAAGATGAACTTAATACCAGTCTAGATGCAGCTAAAAAAAGAAAATAAATAGCTTAAGCAAGTAGTGATAGTGACTTTGCTTTCCAAGTGATAAAGGAAAGTAAATCTGCCATTTAATAGCGCCTCTACCTTTCCTAATCATTTCTCTGGCCACATTAAATTGTTTTCACTTCGCTCAATCTAAAAGGTTTTCTTTTTAATATTCAATCACATGGAAATATTATTATTAGTTTAGTTCAGCTCAAAACTTGCTCACCAAACAGGTGAAGTGCTCACCCACCTGCTGTGAACTAGAGGCAAAGGAAGAACTGTTTTTTCCTCTCTTTTTATCTCTCTTTTCTCTACTTCATTGGCACTTATTCTTGGTGGCAGTGGTAGGGTAACGAAAGAGAGAAGAATGGGAAGGAGTTTAAGTGAATGCATATACATCAGTGGGATTGAAAAGGGGTCTTTCTCAGCTACCTCTTCTTTAAACTAGGGACACGCAGCTGCTGCTGACTGTAAAAAAAGGCTCACTCTACATATTTTTAAGCAGTTTCCTCCCAGCTCTTGGCCACTGTTTTACCTCCCTCTAGCAGCATGATCACATCCCACTATTAAATGAAGGCATTCTCATTCTACAGAGATAGTGTTCTTGGGGCAATCTCCTCATCTAAATCCACACTCTTTGCCCTAACGTTTAAAGAAATTGTCCAGGACCTCCTCCCTCCTTCCCATAGCTGAAAGATGCAGCTGTCTTGCATCTTCTCCCAATACAACCCCTACATACCACAAGGCTTTATATCAGCACCAATTGTCAGTTGACAGTAACTCTGAGAAAGAAAGGAAAGACACGTTGTAGTAAGGCATTGGGGACCTTCACATAGCAAGGAATGAGGAGACAGGAGACGAGTCTAACTCCACACACACCTGGGGAGAAAAGAGGGAAGTACATTTTCCCCATCAAAAATCTGTTCTGTGTCTCTCTGGCTAGAGAGCAACTACAAAAACTGGACAGTATGTTTTTAAATCTAAATGAAGGTATCAGAGGGCCAATAGGCACTAAGCAATATGGAACCAAGATCCAAATAAGAGGAAATCCAAAGATAAGACTTGGCACTTGTAATGATTTTTCTCCAAAGAAGTGGCTGAGACACAGCCAGGAGGGATTCCCGCATCTTGCAGCAATAGGAGGGAAAAAGCGAAGAATGTGATTTGGGATCTTCCAGGGCTACAGCCTATAAGTAAGCACAAACTGGAAATAGGCTGCTTTTGGGAACTGAATCCTAGTTTCAAACCAAGTTGTGACACTGGGTTAAGGTGAGTGGGATTTGCTAATACCCCTAGTTACCTGTCAGAGTAACTGAGAGGACATAATATAATTCAAGGTCTCAATGACTTATACAACTTTCTATATACAATGTCTGGTACTCGAGCAAAAACAGTCAGACACACTAGGAGAGGAGACCACATTAGTGAATGCCAAAAGAAAAAATGGAAAACATAAAAAGATCTTCAGAAAACCTAGAGAATAGAGGTATCAGACAAAGACTTCTAAATAACTATCCTTAAAGTATTTAAGCTGGCCCTGGCAGGGTAGGTCAGCTGGTTAGAGAGTCGTCCTGATATGTCAAGGTTGCAGGTTTGATCTACAGTCAGGGCACATACAAGAAGCAACCAATGAATGCATAAGTAAGTGGAACAGCAAATCAATGTTTCTCTCTCTCCCTCTTTCCCCCTCTCTAAAAGTCAATAAATAAAATCTTTTAAATGTTTAGACTGGGACAAAATTAGAATTTCAGTAGAGAAATATTAAATACAGGACCAATTAAGAATTTTACAGCAAGAGGAAAATACAGCAAGAGCTATTAAGAACTCAGTGAATGTATTTAATAGCAAGTAAGACACAGCCAAATAAAATTTGTTTAAAAACAGTTTAAAAAAATCAAGGAGGAAACAGAGACACATAAAAAAAATATATGAAAAATACAAAAGAAAGTCTAAGACGCTTAGGGGATAAAGGGAAAAGGTCTAATATACATAAAATTGAAATCTCAAATAGAAAATAGGGTAAAATCAATATGTGAAAAGATAATGGCTGAGAACTTTTCCAAATGATGAAAAATACTGTATTGAAGGGATTAGACTTATGCTACTATAAAAGCTGCTAAAGAAGACTATGTAAAGCTGTTACATCTATTCTGGTATTTGGCCTAAAGTTTCCAGAAGTCAGATGGGCCAGCAGTTGGGAAAGAAAACCAAACACAACATATGAAAGAAATGAAACCCATGAGGAGGAACTGGACCCACAAGGAAAAAATGAAACCCATGAGGACACACAGAAAACATGGAACCTGTGTCTATCATTGTGTCAAGAGTTTAGCTAAGCTCCTCCATGGTATTGTGGCCTCTGCATCCATTTCTCATGGGCAAGTGGCCTGCAGGGACCTTCAGGTGACACTAGCCCCTCAGGGAAACACATGCCCTAGATGGCAGCTCACAGAGCCAGAAGCAAATGTTAGTTCCTGATATGACTTGTGATCATCAGTCTCCCCTGCTTCCATGAGCCTGTATTCCTTCTGCACCCTAGATAAGACCCCTATGGGTCTTATCAAAACCCTGCTCTTTTGAGTTTTAACTGATTGATTTGGCCCTAGTCCAGAAACCCGGAAGCACTACACCCATGCACTAAAGGCATGTGCCCCAGGTCCTGCCTCTCTCTGTCCGCTCTCTGCCCTGACCTCCTGTGTGGCCCCTCGAGGCTTGTGTGAACTTCCTCCGGTAGCTATGAGTGATAAACTTCTCTAGTTCAATTTCTCTTCTGGTCTGTTGTTGAACCACCATTCACCATTTTGTTTGCCAGGAATCACCATCAGGCACCCTGTGCTCACTCTACTTAACAAATGTTAATTTAACAAAGTAATAATACACTGCAGCCAAACTTTATGATAAAGATGACCTGTAGGAAAACCTGGTGCTTCTCATCATTGAGCTGCATAGTTATCTGGCCTAGGACATGGAGAAGCTGAAGAAGGTCTGGCAGGAGCGGGGAGAATGTGGGCCCAGGTGCTGCTCCATGTCAAGTAAGTAAACTACCAGATATTGACATTGAATGAGGGCTGCTGTAATACCTGGGCCTATCACTGATCAGAGTGCAAAAAAAAGACTTCTGATTGACTCCCCACTTCCAAATCTTATGCACATTTTCTCTTGTGACTAATCCTAACCCAATCCTACACTGAGAATGGAATTCAGAGAAATGTAGCTTCAGTTTGGCTAAGTTGACCCAGATAGCACACTACCAGTCCACTCTTATCAACTTGGTGCCTATACACACCTTGATTAATTCTCCTTACTTTTTGTCTATCATGATGCAATTATGTCTCATACAACCAAAAACGCACCAATCTTCTCCCCAAAATAGGACGCAGAATTCCTTTATTACCACTGGCAACAGAAAATAAGGTAAAGGCAATATTTGAAAAGATAATGGTTGAGAACTTTTAAAATGATTAAAAATATTAAAGTACTGGTCTGGGATCACTTAGAAATGTATTTATTGTAGGGATTAGAACATATTCTATCGTAGAAGCTGCCAGAGAAGACTATGTAAGGCTGTTACATCTACTCTGATATGTGAAAGCTGGGTGATATTTATTTCTAATTTAAATATTATTATATAAGATTAAATACTATTAACACATTTTATTTTCAATAGTAGAGGAATAGAAGAAAAATTCTTATGTATATCCTTATATATGACTAAAATATGTATGTACATTTATATTTACATATATTAAACTATTATGTTGTATACCTTAAATTTATATAATGTTATATGTCAATTACATCTCAATAAAACCGGAGGCAAATCCTCAGCTAACAGCATACTCAATGGTGAAGAGATAAACGCTTTTCCTACAAGATCATGAACAAAACAAGTATGCCCACTCTCGCCACTTTTATCCAACATAGTTTTAGAAGTCCTAGCCAGAGCAATTAGGCAAGGAAGCAAAATAAAAGGCATCCAAACTGGAAAGGAAGAGGTAAAACTGTCATTTGCAGATGACATGATAATACATATAGAAAATCTTAATAATTGCACCAAATATTGTTAGAATAAATGAATTCCGTAACGTTAGAAACCCAAATTCTTGGGTACCACCCCAGACTTGCTGAATCATGGATCCTGTGTGCAAGGCCAGCAGTTTATGCTGTAACAAGCTGTCCAAGGAACTCTGATGCTTGTTCGTATTTGAGAGCCACTGGCCTAGATTGAACAACTATTACTATCTCTAGGACCTTTCTGTGCCTCACTTCCCACATCTGTAGAATGGGGAAAATAATGGCATACCTGTTCAAAGGGTGGTTGTATGTTTTCAAAAGTTGAAAAGTGATACATAGACACTATTATTATTAACTTCAGCCACCAGACTTGGTTTTCTGACTTTCTCCTCTCATCTGCCCACTATGCCTACAGAGGCTGGAGTTGAGACAGAAACACCAGGGTCCATTGAAAGAGATAATGGAGGGAACTAGCATAGGCATCAATAACCCAGACATAAAGGCCGAGGAACAGGTGTCAGGGAGTCGTCAGAACAGAAGGTTTGGGGACATTGGAAGCACAGAGAAACTTCCCACTGAACCAGATTTGGACTAAATGTGAATGAGCACAGGTGGACAGGAAATAAAACAGGCGAGGGTGCTCAGCATCCTCACTCTGCCTCAGGGTCAGGCCTCTCATCCACCAGGTGTGGAAAGCACAATTTTGTCTACCTTCCCTCTTATGACATTGGATCTTTCCAACCTGAGGTAGGATCCAGGTGGCTATCAGACCAAAAAGCCCTTTCACAAATGCAAATAAAAAAGTGAAACTCACCAGTCAAAGCCATTGTATTCATTTGAGGTTTCTATCCACACGAACAGCAAAATCACAGACACGAAAAATGCAATAACAGGAAATGGGGAAAATAACTGCTCTGTCTGCGAAGAGAAAAATGGAAGTAGAATTTAACTCCATTTATCCATGTTATCTCAGCAATATCTGTATACGCTTTCCAAAGCTCTGTAGTTACAGGGCCATGCATTACTCTCACAGGCTGCAGTGAACACTGTATTCTTTTAAACCCTATGGAATCTTGTACAAGCCTATTATAACATTTATTACACTGAACTGCAATTATGTGTTTATGTTTGTATCTGTTGTGACAATTTCTGAGGAAATGGAACTTCTGTTACACATCTCTGTATTGCTAATATCAAACATAGTTCCATTAATGCAGCTGGCTCTCAGCAATTATCTGATGAATTTACCCACCTCTCCATCTACCAACTGTTTATTCATTGAGTAATTCATTCATTCATTCTTCATCAGTTCGTTTAGTCGTTTATCTTTTCATGCATGGAGGGAGTGCAAATGGGTTAGGGAATATAGCTTTTTTTGAGGAGCTATTTTGTGCTAGTACAATGCTAAGGACTTCACAAGCTACTTTCATTTTATTTGTTTCTCAATATAGCCATTTATATTAGGTATTGTTAACCGCATTTTGCAGAAGAACTAAAGCTCAGTAAGGTAAAGTAATTGACTCACGGTCACACAGACAAGTAGCAGGGATACTGACTAGATCTGTGAGTCCAAAGCTAAGATGGAAGATGTTCAGACTGAGGCTTGAAGGCAACCCCTTCACTGACAATCATGTCACAAACCAGTCATGCCAGAGGTTGCCAAATCCTTTCTGAGAACACTAGGTTTTGGTTGCTGAGTTATAATCTTAACACCTCTATCACAGAACTAAGAAATCTGTCTCTTAGAGACGTTGCTTTTACTCTGTTAAAAATGGATGGAATAAACCCTACCTTGCCTAAATCATGGGGTGATTGTAAAGAATAAGAATAAAGAAATAAAATGGAAAACAGAGCAATGGTATTCCACAAAGACGAAACATAACAGGTATCACGGCACTAAACTGCCACTTCTGAACACAGGAAGATGGAGAGCACAGGCTTTGACTCAGGTCTTATTCTCTACACAAAACTTGGGTGGATTTTTAAAAACACATATCAGATAATGTCCCTCCCCTGCTCACAACACTGCCAGAGCTTCGTATTATACTACAGGATCATCCAACCTGCCTGCCACAGCCCACAAGGTCCTACATGATCAACCCTGCCCCACCCTTGACCTCATCCCAGTCTACACACTGAATCCATTGCTGAATTCCAGCCACACTGGCCTTCTCTCTGTTTCTGGAACATAATCAAATTTGTTCCCACCACAAGAGCTTTGCTTTGCACTTCCTGGTTCTTCTGCCTGGAATACTTCTGCCCCAGATGCACATATGGCTGGCTCTACCTTTTCATTTAGGAAACAGCTCACATTACCCTTGTTCAAAGAGGTCTTCTCTAACCACTCTCCCATCCCAGTTTCTAACACATTTTTCTTTTTATTACTTTCAAAACTCTTACCACCATCTGAAATCATCTTTCTTTATTGTTTATTACCTAACTAATCTCACTAGAATGTTAGGTGTAGGGGGACCAGAGGCCTTACCTGTACTAATCACTGTGACACATAATAAGTGCTCAATAAAACTGTTTTAGTCGATTGCATCCATTTTCGTATTTTGAGTCTTATTGTTGCCATTATTGTTCAAAACTTTCAGTCTCCCGACTATCCACAGGATAAAGTTCAAATATTTTAGGATGGCATAGAAAAGCTTCATAAATATTCCTTTCCAACTCCACCACTTACCATTTATAAACTTCATTAAACTGTCATTAAATTCAATACTGAAAATTTGTTTTTCCCTAAACACACCACTGTGCTTCTCTATCTCTGGGCTTATGACCACCTTATACCTCCTATTCAGAATCGCCTGCACAATCATTTATAGCCATGGAAGGTCACTTACAAAGGCAAGGACTCCAAGACATTAATAAAAATAGCTAATATTTATTGAGTGCAAGTTGTGTGCCAACCCCAATTCTAAGTGTCTGCACATATTATCTCTTCTATCCTCACAAGCAGCCCTATTGGTGGGTACTATTGGTATCATCTCCTTTATTCTATTGAGGAATATAAAGCACCACAATGTTAATTAAGCTGCCCAAGTTTCCACAGTGGTAAAACTCTAATTTGGTGATAGTCAGTGGTGAAGCCATAAATTGAATCCAGGCAGTCTTTCCCAGACCCCAGATCTTAGCTCTTACATTCTATGCTATACTCCTCCCCCTGAGCAGAAATGGGGCCATGAGAATTACCTACTTCAATTCACATAAGCAGCCCAAGGGCAGAGTTGGAATTAGGACCCAAACATACTCCCGGGCCCTGGTCCAGGGATTTTCCAACTATACCACACTGCCTTAAATGTCATCATTCCCATGAAGCCTCCCTTTATCTTTCCCTCTATGTCTTTTTAAAAATATATATCTTTATTGATTTCAGAGAGAGGAAGGGAAAGGGAGATAGAGATAAAAACATCAATGATGAGAGGAGAGTCACTGACTGGCTGCCTCCTGCACGCCTCGTACTAGGGATGGAGCCTGCAACCCGGGCATGTGCCCTGACTGGGAATCAAACTGCAATCTCCTGGATCCTGGGTCAATGCTCAACCGCTGAGCCATACCGGGCTGGGCGCTATGTCCTTCTTTATAGCTCTCATGTGACTTACAGCCTCATGCCCACAAAATAAATAGCTTTTGAATCAATTCACTCTTCTCCATGTTTTTCATCACTACTCTAATCCTGGCCACCAACATCTCTTACCTTGAACACTGCCACTGGGGTGAGGCTAGGCCCCATGCTACCAGTCAGCCTTACCAGTCTTCTTTAGGGAAAATCAGGCATTAGCCTGACCAAGAATAAAAGATCACCTTGCCTGGCCAGTGTGGCTCAGTTGGTTGAGCGTCATCCCATGCACCAAAAGGTCGCTGGTTCGATTCCCAATCAGGGCACATGCCCAGGTTGCTGGCTCAATCCCGTCATGATGCGTGCAGGAGGCAGCCAATCATTATTTCTCTCTCACATCAATGTTTCTCTCTCTCTTTCTCCCTTCCTCTCTCTCTCTCTAAAAAATAAAAAATAAATAGTAAATAAAAAACATTAAAAAATAATAAAAAGAAAATAAAGGAGCACCTTGTCTCCCACTTGCTGGGTTTTTTTTCTCATAAGCAGAGCTCCTTAGGGAATCTCATAATGAAAAGAAAATTAAATATTCAGGCATTCCTGTAATCCCTAGACAAAAACATCTAAATGTACTTAAACTTCTCTTTTTCTTCAAGTTTCATTGAGTGAATAAAAGCAAAAGTGAGTGAATAAATGAATGATATAAAAGAGGAAGTAAGGAAAAGGAGAGGTGAAGAATGAAAGTGGAAGAAGCAAGCTCATGTTTCAGTAAGGTTAACTGGCTCCAGGATTGCAGCAGACCTTTCACGGGAGGGCCAGAGCCCAAGCATGCCCAGTGCTGGAGACTAATGAGCCCTCATGGCAGCAGGGGACAGCCCACGTTCCCCACATCTCAGGAAGTGTGCCTATATCTCCCCATCTCTCTGTACCAAAGAGCAGCAGCAGAATCCATGCCTAGGTTTTTTCTCTGGTTTAGCTTTCCACGAGCAGCTGTAGCAGCCAGTAATGTGGGTGACATAGCACTCGTGGTTGCAATTGTTTGTTGTACATCTACCACACTTTTTCCATATACTGGTCTCCGTCTCGTCCTCCGTTTGCATGGTTCACCCTTTTGCTGCAATGACAAATAAACAATCAGGATTGAGTAGCTCATTTAAGTGTTTCCTACCACACCATTCTTCAGAAAATTCCATAAAAAATGGATTTTTTAAAAAGTTTATAATCTAGGGTAATGTATGTACTTAATTCGGCACAGGAGACTAGAGCTGCATCCCAGCTTTCCCACTACACTGTTGAGTGTTTATTGCAGTCATCACACCACTCAAGGTTTAATTTTCTCACCTCTAAAATGGACCATATTCTCTGTACTAGCCAACTAATAGATGCTGCAAGCATCACATTAGATAATAGATAGAAATGTATCTTTTAAACTGTAATATGCTCTTGAAATAACTTGAGAATTTAGAGGCACAGATGAGGAATATGAAAAATATAATCCTTGACTAATACGTGACTCACACACACACATAGTTTCCTGCACCTTCCCTTTCTCTCCTCTCCCATGTGGAATCAGTGAGGGTCAGCTTCAATTAAGAATGATGGACTGATGGACTACCCCTGGCTTGTGTTGCTCAGCAGTTAGAGCATTAGTCCGTGCACTGAAGGGTCATGGGTTCAATTCCCTGTCAAGGGCACATACCTGGGTTGCAAATTCATCCCCGGCCCCATTCAGGGCTCATGTGGGAGGCAACCAATCGATGCGTCTCTCTCACACTGATGTTTCTCTGTCTCTCCCCCTCCCTCCCTCCCTTCCACTCTCCTAAAAAGCAATGGAAAAAATACCCTTAGGTAAGGATAAAAAAAAA